TTTGGTTTCATTCCATTCAGTGGTTCTCTAAAAGAAAACATTTGTATGTATTTCCCATAGGGTCCTATGTTAAACTAAGTCCTACGCTGGCGGCCATCTTGGATTATGGATTGGCTACAAAGTAACAACACTTGGTAAGCACCTCAAAAGGAACATTCGTGCTATGTTTGGTTTTATTCCATTCAGTGGTTCTCGAGAAGAAGTTCAAAATGTAAAAAGTTAACGACGACGACGACGACGACGGACGACGACGACGGACGACGACGACGGACGACGGACGCCAAGTGATGAGAAAAGCTCAGTTGGCCCTTCGGGCCAGGTGAGCTAAAAAGGACAAATGGACACTAAAACTAGAGACAATTGTTGCAGAAAGACACACAGTTCATATGAACTGAAGATTGTCAATTATGAACCTGCTATAAAAGTAACTATCGTTTTCATTAAAATGGTATTTTTCTTGTAAAGGGGATATCTGCATGGGTAATTTTCCGGGAGACAATTGTGGAAGAGAATACACTTCCGAAAGAGTATTTTTTTCCAAATGAAAGATATCCAAATTAAAAATTAACTCTTCATGTCCATAAGTAAAGGCACCAGTAGTATACCGCTGTTCAAAAGTCATAAATCGATTGAAAGAAAACAAATCCGGGTTACAAACTAAAACCGAGGGAAACACATCAACTATAAGAGGAAAACAAAGAAACAACAGAACACTGAAGTGCAACAAAAAACAAACAACAACGCAACATACATAAAAACGTACTATTAAATAACAACTGCCATATTACTGACTTGGTACAAGACATTTTAAGAAAAAAATGGTGGGTTGAACCTGGTTTTGTGGCTAGCCAAACCTCGCGACTTGTGCCAATGTTAAATATACCACTAAAATGACAACATTACATGACGGGAATACAGTACGTATAAATGCAAGAACAATCAGGACAGAGAAATACATAAATAAATAATATAATAGTACATTTCGACATGTTAACCACAGAATTACAACGAATAACTAAAATTAATTTAGGACTGTACACAAAAACAGCATAATATAATTACGAACTATGTTTCTGTGACACGAATGTATCTACGCCACAAAAAAGTGACGTCATAGGTAAATTTGTAAAAATTAGATATAAATCAAGATTAGGTTTGTTATTATGTTATTTGATGTATTTTATAACAATTACAAGAATATTAATATAGAATTGTGTTAGTAATTGTGCAACTAACTGCACTTTCTAACTATGTCGGACTTTCTTCCAAATCAAACTGTGTAAAACAAAAAAATCCTGTGCACATAGTTGCTTTAAACTAAAATTTTACAAATGAATTGGGTGATTAATTACCTTTTCTTTTACATACGAATAGAATATAAAAAATAGAATCACAACTACAAACGATAAGACACAAAACAATATCAAAATCAGAATTAAAAATAAAACTTCGTAACTAAATACATAAACACTGGATAAACAAATACCGAGACACGTCTTACAGCAATGCGAATTCACCCTCAGCAAAACAGTCATATTTGGGAATAGGTCACGTTCGGTACTTAAAAGACCAGACGACGTAAATGGTAAACCACAATCTAAGACGTGGTGAAAATGTCCTTAGTTAGTTTAGACACAGACACATCTTGTGGATCAACCAATTCGTGGTGGTGTCCATAAAATTTACGGAGTGTAATTTTTAATCTTTCCTCCTCATTACTTTGTTGAAGCAGTTTCTGCGTAAGGAGCACACTCCTGTATATGAAGTCCGTATAGTGTGAACATGCACGAGCATGACGTATCAACTGAGATATGTAAACACCATACGATGGGGCAGATGGTATGTTACTGCTGAGAAATGGGAAATTGATAATTGGGAAGTTGAAATCGTCCTGTTTATCATAAATTTTAGTGTCAAGTCGTCCATCTGAGTCAATATTGAGGAAGAGATCAAGGTATGAAGCAGTCCTTCTAGTATCAGTAGTATCTTTAATTTCAATTTCACTGGGATATATGAGATGTAAGTACTGGCTAAAATATGGGATATTCAGTGATAAGACATCATCAATATATCTGAAAGTAAAATTAAAGAATTTCGCAAGGTGCTTTTTCTTTTTGTCTTTTAGAAGGTTCTGAATGAAATCTGCTGCATACGAGTACAAAAACAAATCGGCCAGTAGGGGTGCACAATTAGTACCTATTGGAATACCGACTGTCTGTTGAAATATCAATCCTCCAAATTCAACAAATATATTGTCGATCAAAAAGTCCAGCATTTTGATAATATCATCTTCAGTATATATGGTAGAATCAGTGTGGTTCTTCACAAAATAAGTATTATTATAATCCAAAAAGAAGAAATTTGTATCTACGATTCCCATTTTTATAGAAAAAGCTCTGTTTAATTAGATGGTGAAGTCGATCTTTCAATTGAGTATGGGGAATAGTAGTGTAAAGTGTACAAAAATCGAAAGTCTCAATGTTGCTGCAACATTGCAGAGAACAGTATTTTTTTTAAATTTTAGGTCAGAATGAAACCAGAAAAATCCTGTCGAGTCTTTGGTGCTTGTGCTGTTCTACATAACATAGCTTCAACAAGGCATGAACCTTTGGATGATGTTTGTGATGTACATGTTCATCAAGACCAGCCAGTGCGAGTTCCGCCTTTTGAAGGAGAACAGGATGGTAGACACATTAGAGAGCATATTGCAAGAGTTTTCTTCAACTGAAATACACAAAAAAGTCTATATTTTTTCATCCAATATAAAATTGTGATAAATGATACATTTACTTTTTCTCATAACACATGCATTCAACATGTTGAATTGGAAGCAAATAATGAGTTCATATTACACATACGGTTATGTGAGCTATTGGCACCACGAGGTGTCTGTCGTTAACATCTTCTTTAAACTTTATCTCCCTAATAATTTTACTCTGAATGATATCTTACCCCAAGGATTGATTAAGGTATACATTTATGGTCATCCGTTGGAGTTTGGTCGTCCAATCAGTAAAACCCTTGCCGCAAAGTGGATCTTCCGTAGACTGCTGGATGTGTGAAAATACGCCTGCACATCCGGTTGGAAAGGGGACGTAAAATCTGATTGCATCGTGTTGAAATATTGTAACGCTATGCATATTTTAAGAGCCCTTACAAAAACGGGTCTGATCATACCTATGTTAATTTGTTCTAATCATGAACATGCATGAAGTATTTGCCACTGGATGTAAAGCAAATAATCAAAATGAATGGCCCTTGTAAAAATAGAGTGATCAAATCAAAGGTCAGAACACAGTGACAAAACATTAACATTCCCTATAAATGCATTGCCAAAGTTAAAATGAAAAACATAACATACAAATAGTAAAATTCAATTGTCTCGAATACACAAAAAATTTACATAAGGAGACTCAAAAGTGGTATGAATATATCATAGTCAGGAAATGCAAAAGATTATTTAACGAATAAAAATGACTTCTAAACACCATTTGTGACTTGATACACATGATGTTTTTTCGGGCAAATAATGGTTGATTGACAAGAAATATAAATAATTTAATTCATTAAAATTTGAGAAAATGTGAGTGGAGAATTCTCTTTTTCTCGTTTCATTTCTTCCAGCAACTGTATCTGAAGATCTAATTTCCTCATCTCTTTAGTTTGCTTTTCCATTTCTCCCTTCAAATACAGTATCTGAAATGAAATACATGATACATGTAGATCTATATATTTTTAACATATATCTATATATAATGTGTCTGTATACCTTACAACTCTTTTGGAATTTACAAAAGTATTGCTTGAAATGGAGAGTTCCAGATATATTTATGACCTGTTGGACATATGCTTAGTCCAGATGCTGGAAGACCATAGTTTTATATTGGAAGATTTTCATGAAGATGAAAATATCAACATTTGAAAATGAAATGTAGATTAAGTCTAATTTAAGATTGAATCACGGTCTCACAGCATTGCTTATACGAACCAATCGACCAATCGATTGGAGACCCAAAAGGGGGTTCAGGTCCAATTTTCTTTTTTCTGAGTTATGACTGCTTCCCTGTTTACAGAGGTCAGCAGACCCCTTTTGAAAGTCCTGAACCTACCACCGAGTCATTCATTATAAGACAATGATATGTCAATGGTTTCTAAATTATTCTGGATTATTTCTAAAATAAATGCAATTGAGTAATTTTACCTGTAGCTCATAAACATCATCAGCAGTTGCTTTTCTCTTCTTTGGATTGACTGCTTTCTTTGTCGGTAGAGACTCCAGCTGAACTACTGCAGCTGCTGGTACATTTAACTGGATATTTTCAGCTCGTGGTAAGTAGTAATGGCTGATGAGTTCAATCAGATCCAGGTAGGGAAAATGACTGGCTTGGAGGGGTATCAAACAGGTCCTAGGAAATTGTGTCACTCTCCTCTGGCAATGCTGCTGAGTTGTCAACTAGAAAATATAATGAGGTTGTTGCTATAAATGATCATGAATGGAAGTCATGTGTGTATATTGTTAAATTTTCTTACTGACAACTTTTAGAGATTTTTTTGTTAAGTCATTCTTTCTTTGCTTTCATTGACTTTGCCTGACAAACCATATGCATCAATGCACAGCAAAATAAGATTACTAGTAACAGAACTATATCGGAAGACGAACTTCTTTCCAATTATAAGGCAGTATTGCACCATATAAAATAGATTTCTAGTAAAAATTAATTGATTAATGTTTAACGCTACTTTCAACACCATTGTGCTATTTCGTGGTGGTCAGTTTTTATTGGTGGAGGAAGCTTGAGTAAACCACCGACTTGGGTAGAAAAACCTACATTCCTTAGTCAATTAACATTGGATTGGAGTGCACCTGCCCCATGCGGGATTTGAACTTACAATTTCAGTGTTGACTGGCTATATATATATATATATATATATATATATATATATATAAACAAGTCTAAATTGAAAACAACGTTCAAACCTATGATTGCATTGGATAAAAACAATTTTTATACGTGTGCATGCAAATAAATTTCTTGTTAGAGGGGTCTAAATACAGCACAAACAACATTTCCAAAAGACCAAAATAGTGAAAAAGTATATTTTAACAAAACGCATTTGACTAACAGGTCGAACAACAAATGTTCTTAATCCCTGCTGGGTATATTGCCAAATAAACGATCACCGATGTAATAAATGGATCTTAATTTTAAATTTAATACTAAACAGAAAACAATAAACTTGCGGAGAAGATGATATACCACAAACAAAAGGTGCAAAGGTTTTTGTACACCATATCCGGATTTCGACAAATAATGTCTCTTCAGTGATGTTAGGAATCGAAAAGGTATTTGGAAAGCCCAACAATTAACCTCAATTTAGGATAGACTCTTGAATTTTGAGGAGTCAAAATATAATGAACGGATCATATAAACCCTAAGGCAAATATAATACAAGCCCAAACGAAAAAATATAAACAAGTCTAAATTGAAAACAACGTTCAAACCTATGATTGCATTGGATAAAAACCGCAATTTATATACGTGTGCATGCAAAACAAATTTCTTGTTAGAGGGGTCTAAATACAGCACAAACAACATTTCCAAAAGACCAAAATAATGAAAAAGTATATTTTAACAAAACGCATTTGACTAACAGGTCGAACAACAAATGTTCTTAAACCCTGCTGACTGCTATTGGCGATTGCCAAATAAACGGATCACCGATGTAATAAATGGATCTTAATTTTAAATTTAATACTAAACAGAAAACAATAAACTTGCGGAGAAGATGATATACCGCAAACAAAAGGTGCAAAGGTTTTTGTACACCATATCCGGATTTCGACAAATAATGTCTCTTCAGTGATGTTAGGAATCGAATAGGTATTTGGAAAGCCCAACAATTTACCTCAATTTAGGATAGACTCTTGAATTTTGAGGAGTCAAAATAGGATGAACGGATCATATAAACCCTAAGGCAAATATAATACAAGCCCAAACGAAAAAATATAAACAAGTCTAAATTGAAAACAACGTTCAAACCTATGATTGCATTGGATAAAAACCGCAATTTTTATACGTGTGCATGCAAAACAAATTTCTTGTTAGAGGAGTCTAAATACAGCACAAACAACATTTCCAAAAGACCAAAATAGTGAAAAAATATATTTTAACAAAACGCATTTGACTAACAGGTCGAATAACAAATGTTCCTAAACCCTGCTGACTGCCATTGGCGATTGCCAAATAAACGGATCACCGATGTAATAAATGGATCTTAATTTTAAATTTAATAGTAAACAGAAAACAATAAACTTGCGGAGAAGATGATATACCGCAAACAAAAGGTGCAAAGGTTTTTGTACACCATATCCGGATTTCGACAAATAATGTCTCTTCAGTGATGTAAGGAATCGAAAAGGTATTTGGAAAGCCCAACAATTCACCTGAATTTAGGATAGACTCTTGAATTTTAAGGAGTCAAAATAGGATGAACGGATCATATAAACCCTAAGGCAAATATAATACAAGCCCAAACGAAAAAATATAAACAAGTCTAAATTGAAAACAACGTTCAAACCTATGATTGCATTGGATAAAAACCGCAATTTTTATACGTGTGCATGCAAAACAAATTTCTTGTTAGAGGGGTCTAAATACAGCAAAAACAACATTTCCAAAAGACCAAAATAGTGAAAAAGTATATTTTAACAAAACGCATTTGACTAACAGGTCGAACAACAAATGTTCTTAAACCCTGCTGACTGCTATTGGCGATTGCCAAATAAACGGATCACCGATGTAATAAATGGATCTTAATTTTAAATTTAATACTAAACAGAAAACAATAAACTTGCGGAGAAGATGATATACCGCAAACAAAAGGTGCAAAGGTTTTTGTACACCATATCCGGATTTCGACAAATAATGTCTCTTCAGTGATGTTAGGAATCGAAAAGGTATTTGGAAAGCCCAACAATTTACCTCAATTTAGGATAGACTCTTGAATTTTGAGGAGTCAAAATAGGATGAACGGATCATATAAACCCTAAGGCAAATATAATACAAGCCCAAACGAAAAAATATAAACTAGTCTAAATTGAAAACAACGTTCAAACCTATGATTGCATTGGATAAAAACCGCAATTTTTATACGTGTGCATGCAAAACAAATTTCTTGTTAGAGGGGTCTAAATACAGCAAAAACAACATTTCCAAAAGACCAAAATAGTGAAAAAGTATATTTTAACAAAACGCATTTGACTAACAGGTCGAACAACAAATGTTCTTAAACCCTGCTGACTGCTATTGGCGATTGCCAAATAAACGGATCACCGATGTAATAAATGGATCTTAATTTTAAATTTAATACTAAACAGAAAACAATAAACTTGCGGAGAAGATGATATACCGCAAACAAAAGGTGCAAAGGTTTTTGTACACCATATCCGGATTTCGACAAATAATGTCTCTTCAGTGATGTTAGGAATCGAAAAGGTATTTGGAAAGCCCAACAATTTACCTGAATTTAGGATAGACTCTTGAATTTTAAGGAGTCAAAATAGGATGAACGGATCATATAAACCCTAAGTCAAATATAATACAAGCCCAAACGAAAAAATATAAACAAGTCTAAATTGAAAACAACGTTCAAACCTATGATTGCATTGGATAAAAACCGCAATTTTTATACGTGTGCATGCAAAACAAATTTCTTGTTAGAGGGGTCTAAATACAGCAAAAACAACATTTCCAAAAGACCAAAATAGTGAAAAAGTATATTTTAACAAAACGCATTTGACTAACAGGTCGAACAACAAATGTTCTTAAACCCTGCTGACTGCTATTGGCGATTGCCAAATAAACGGATCACCGATGTAATAAATGGATCTTAATTTTAAATTTAATACTAAACAGAAAACAATAAACTTGCGGAGAAGATGATATACCGCAAACAAAAGGTGCAAAGGTTTTTGTACACCATATCCGGATTTCGACAAATAATGTCTCTTCAGTGATGTTAGGAATCGAAAAGGTATTTGGAAAGCCCAACAATTTACCTCAATTTAGGATAGACTCTTGAATTTTGAGGAGTCAAAATAGGATGAACGGATCATATAAACCCTAAGGCAAATATAATACAAGCCCAAACGAAAAAATATAAACAAGTCTAAATTGAAAACAACGTTCAAACCTATGATTGCATTGGATAAAAACCGCAATTTTTATACGTGTGCATGCAAAACAAATTTCTTGTTAGAGGAGTTTAAATACAGCACAAACAACATTTCCAAAAGACCAAAATAGTGAAAAAATATATTTTAACAAAACGCATTTGACTAACAGGTCGAATAACAAATGTTCCTAAACCCTGCTGACTGCCATTGGCGATTGCCAAATAAACGGATCACCGATGTAATAAATGGATCTTAATTTTAAATTTAATAGTAAACAGAAAACAATAAACTTGCGGAGAAGATGATATACCGCAAACAAAAGGTGCAAAGGTTTTTGTACACCATATCCGGATTTCGACAAATAATGTCTCTTCAGTGATGTTAGGAATCGAAAAGGTATTTGGAAAGCCCAACAATTCACCTGAATTTAGGATAGACTCTTGAATTTTAAGGAGTCAAAATAGGATGAACGGATCATATAAACCCTAAGGCAAATATAATACAAGCCCAAACGAAAAAATATAAACAAGTCTAAATTGAAAACAACGTTCAAACCTATGATTGCATTGGATAAAAACCGCAATTTTTATACGTGTGCATGCAAAACAAATTTCTTGTTAGAGGGGTCTAAATACAGCAAAAACAACATTTCCAAAAGACCAAAATAGTGAAAAAGTATATTTTAACAAAACGCATTTGACTAACAGGTCGAACAACAAATGTTCTTAAACCCTGCTGACTGCTATTGGCGATTGCCAAATAAACGGATCACCGATTTAATAAATGGATCTTAATTTTAAATTTAATACTAAACAGAAAACAATAAACTTGCGGAGAAGATGATATACCGCAAACAAAAGGTGCAAAGGTTTTTGTACACCATATCCGGATTTCGACAAATAATGTCTCTTCAGTGATGTTAGGAATCGAAAAGGTATTTGGAAAGCCCAACAATTTACCTCAATTTAGGATAGACTCTTGAATTTTGAGGAGTCAAAATAGGATGAACGGATCATATAAACCCTAAGGCAAATATAATACAACCCCAAACGAAAAAATATAAACTAGTCTAAATTGAAAACAACGTTCAAACCTATGATTGCATTGGATAAAAACCGCAATTTTTATACGTGTGCATGCAAAACAAATTTCTTGTTAGAGGGGTCTAAATACAGCAAAAACAACATTTCCAAAAGACCAAAATAGTGAAAAAGTATATTTTAACAAAACGCATTTGACTAACAGGTCGAACAACAAATGTTCTTAAACCCTGCTGACTGCTATTGGCGATTGCCAAATAAACGGATCACCGATGTAATAAATGGATCTTAATTTTAAATTTAATACTAAACAGAAAACAATAAACTTGCGGAGAAGATGATATACCGCAAACAAAAGGTGCAAAGGTTTTTGTACACCATATCCGGATTTCGACAAATAATGTCTCTTCAGTGATGTTAGGAATCGAAAAGGTATTTGGAAAGCCCAACAATTTACCTGAATTTAGGATAGACTCTTGAATTTTAAGGAGTCAAAATAGGATGAACGGATCATATAAACCCTAAGTCAAATATAATACAAGCCCAAACGAAAAAATATAAACAAGTCTAAATTGAAAACAACGTTCAAACCTATGATTGCATTGGATAAAAACCGCAATTTTTATACGTGTGCATGCAAAACAAATTTCTTGTTAGAGGGGTCTAAATACAGCAAAAACAACATTTCCAAAAGACCAAAATAGTGAAAAAGTATATTTTAACAAAACGCATTTGACTAACAGGTCGAACAACAAATGTTCTTAAACCCTGCTGACTGCTATTGGCGATTGCCAAATAAACGGATCACCGATGTAATAAATGGATCTTAATTTTAAATTTAATACTAAACAGAAAACAATAAACTTGCGGAGAAGATGATATACCGCAAACAAAAGGTGCAAAGGTTTTTGTACACCATATCCGGATTTCGACAAATAATGTCTCTTCAGTGATGTTAGGAATCGAAAAGGTATTTGGAAAGCCCAACAATTTACCTCAATTTAGGATAGACTCTTGAATTTTGAGGAGTCAAAATAGGATGAACGGATCATATTAACCCTAAGGCAAATATAATACAAGCCCAAACGAAAAAATATAAACAAGTCTAAATTGAAAACAACGTTCAAACCTATGATTGCATTGGATAAAAACCGCAATTTTTATACGTGTGCATGCAAAACAAATTTCTTGTTAGAGGGGTCTAAATACAGCACAAACAACATTTCCAAAAGACCAAAATAGTGAAAAAGTATATTTTAACTAAACGCATTTGACTAACAGGTCGAACAACAAATGTTCTTAAACCCTGCTGACTCCCATTGGCGATTGCCAAATAAACGGATCACCGATGTAATAAATGGATCTTAATTTTAAATTTAATACTAAACAGAAAACAATAAACTTGCGGAGAAGATGATATACCGCAAACAAAAGGTGCAAAGGTTTTTGTACACCATATCCGGATTTCGACAAATAATGTCTCTTCAGTGATGTTAGGAATCGAAAAGGTATTTGGAAAGCCCAACAATTTACCTGAATTTAGGATAGACTCTTGAATTTTGAGGAGTCAAAATAGGATGAACGGATCATATAAACCCTTAGGCAAATATAATACAAGCCCAAACGAAAAAATATAAACAAGTCTAAATTGAAAACAACGTTCAAACCTATGACTGCATTGGATAAAAACCGCAAATTTTATACGTGTGCATGCAAAACAAATTTCTTGTTAGAGGGGTCTAAATACAGCACAAACAACATTTCCAAAAGACCAAAATAGTGAAAAAGTATATTTTAACCAAATGCATTTGACTAAAAGGTCGAACAACAAATGTTCTTAAACCCTGCTGACTGCCATTGGCGATTGCCAAATAAACGGATCACCGATGTAATAAATGGATCTTAATTTTAAATTTAATACTAAACAGAAAACAATAAACTTGCGGAGAAGATGATATACCGCAAACAAAAGGTGCAAGGGTTTTTGTACACCATATCCGGATTTCGACAAATAATGTCTCTTCAGTGATGTTAGGAATCGAAAAGGTATTTGGAAAGCCCAACAATTTACCTGAATTTAGGATAGACTCTTGAATTTTGAGGAGTCAAAATAGGATGAACGGATCATATTAACCCTTAGGCAAATATAATACAAGCCCAAACGAAAAAATATAAACAAGTCTAAATTGAAAACAACGTTCAAACCTATGATTGCATTGGATAAAAACCGCAATTTTTATACGTGTGCATGCAAAACAAATTTCTTGTTAGAGGGGTCTAAATACAGCACAAACAACATTTCCAAAAGACCAAAATAGTGAAAAAGTATATTTTAACTAAACGCATTTGACTAACAGGTCGAACAACAAATGTTCTTAAACCCTGCTGACTGCCATTGGCGATTGCCAAATAAACGGATCACCGATGTAATAAATGGATCTTAATTTTAAATTTAATACTAAACAGAAAACAATAAACTTGCGGAGAAGATGATATACCGCAAACAAAAGGTGCAAAGGTTTTTGTACACCATATCCGAATTTCGACAAATAATGTCCCTTCAGTGATGTTAGGAATCGAAAAGGTATTTGGAAAGCCCAACAATTTACCTCAATTTAGGATAGACTCTTGAATTTTGAGGAGTCAAAATAGGATGAACGGATCATATAAACCCTAAGGCAAATATAATACAAGCCCAAACGAAAAAATATAAACTAGTCTAAATTGAAAACAACGTTCAAACCTATGATTGTATTGGATAAAAACCGCAATTTTTATACGTGTGCATGCAAAACAAATTTCTTGTTAGAGGGGTCTAAATACAGCACAAACAACATTTCCAAAAGACCAAAATAGTGAAAAAGTATATTTTAACCAAACGCATTTGACTAACAGGTCGAACAACAAATGTTCTTAAACCCTGCTGACTGCCATTGGCGATTGCCAAATAAACGGATCACCGATGTAATAAATGGATCTTAATTTTAAATTTAATACTAAACAGAAAACAATAAACTTGCGGAGAAGATGATATACCGCAAACAAAAGGTGCAAAGGTTTTTGTACACCATATCCGGATTTCGACAAATAATGTCTCTTCAGAGTGATGTAAGGAATCGAAAAGGTATTTGGAAAGCCCAACAATTTACCTCAATTTAGGATAGACTCTTGAATTTTGAGGAGTCAAAATAGGATGAACGGATCATATAAACCCTAAGGCAAATATAATACAAGCCCAAACGAAAAAATATAAACAAGTCTAAATTGAAAACAAGGTTCAAACCTATGATTGCATTGGATAAAAACCGCAATTTTTATACGTGTGCATGCAAAACAAATTTCTTGTTAGAGGGGTCTAAATACAGCACAAACAACATTTCCAAAAGACCAAAATAGTGAAAAAGTATATTTTAACAAAACGCATTTGACTAACAGGTCGAACAACAAATGTTCTTAAACCCTGCTGACTGCCATTGGCGATTGCCAAATAAACGGATCACCGATGTAATAAATGGATCTTAATTTTAAATTTAATACTAAACAAAATACAATAAACTTGCGGAGAAGGTGATATACCGCAAACAAAAGGTGCAAAGGTTTTTGTACACCATATCCGGATTCCGACAAATAATGTCTCTTCAGTGATGTTAGGAATCGAAAAGGTATTTGGAAAGCCCAACAATTTACCTGAATTTAGGATAGACTCTTGAATTTTGAGGAGTCAAAATAGGATGAACGGATCATATAAACCCTAAGGCAAATATAATACAAGCGCAAACGAAAAAATATAAACAAGTCTAAATTGAAAACAACGTTCAAACCTATGATTGCATTGGATAAAAACCGCAATTTTTATACGTGTGCATGCAAAACAAATTTCTTGTTAGAGGGGTCTAAATACAGCACAAACAACATTTCCAAAAGACCAAAATAGTGAAAAAGTATATTTTAACTAAACGCATTTGACTAACAGGTCGAACAACAAATGTTCTTAAACACTGCTGACTGCCATTGGCGATTGCCAAATAAACGGATCACCGATGTAATAAATGGATCTTAATTTTAAATTTAATACTAAACAGAAAACAATAAACTTGTGGAGAAGATAATATACCGCAAACAAAAGGTGCAAAGGTTTTTGTACACCATATCCGGATTTCGACAAATAATGTCTCTTCAGAGTGATGTAAGGAATCGAAAAGGTATTTGGAAAGCCCAACAATTTACCTCAATTTAGGATAGACTCTTGAATGTTGAGGAGTCAAAATAGGATGAACGGATCATATAAACCCTAAGGCAAATATAATACAAGCCCAAACGAAAAAATATAAACAAGTCTAAATTGAAAACAAGGTTCAAACCTATGATTGCATTGGATAAAAACCGCAATTTTTATACGTGTGCATGCAAAACAAATTTCTTGTTAGAGGGGTCTAAATACAGCACAAACAACATTTCCAAAAGACCAAATTAGTGAAAAAGTATATTTTAACAAAACGCATTTGACTAACAGGTCGAACAACAAATGTTCTTAAACCCTGCTGACTGCCATTGGCGATTGCCAAATAAACGGATCACCGATGTAATAAATGGATCTTAATTTTAAATTTAATACTAAACAAAATACAATAAACTTGCGGAGAAGGTGATATACCGCAAACAAAAGGTGCAAAGGTTTTTGTACACCATATCCGGATTCCGACAAATAATGTCTCTTCAGTGATGTTAGGAATCGAAAAGGTATTTGGAAAGCCCAACAATTTACCTGAATTTAGGATAGACTCTTGAATTTTGAGGAGTCAAAATAGGATGAACGGATCATATAAACCCTAAGGCAAATATAATACAAGCGCAAACGAAAAAATATAAACAAGTCTAAATTGAAAACAACGTTCAAACCTATGATTGCATTGGATAAAAACCGCAATTTTTATACGTGTGCATGCAAAACAAATTTCTTGTTAGAGGGGTCTAAATACAGCACAAACAACATTTCCAAAAGACCAAAATAGTGAAAAAGTATATTTTAACAAAACGCATTTGACTAACAGGTCGAACAACAAATGTTCTTAAACACTGCTGACTGCCATTGGCGATTGCCAAATAAACGGATCACCGATGTAATAAATGGATCTTAATTTTAAATTTAATACTAAACAGAAAACAATAAACTTGTGGAGAAGATAATATACCGCAAACAAAAGGTGCAAAGGTTTTTGTACACCATATCCGGATTTCGACAAATAATGTCTCTTCAGTGATGTTAGGAATCGAAAAGGTATTTGGAAAGCCCAACAATTTACCTCAATTTAGGATAGACTCTTGAATTTTGAGGAGTCAAAATAGGATGAACGGATCATATAAACCCTAAGGCAAATATAATACAAGCCCAAACGAAAAAATATAAACAAGTCTAAATTGAAAACAACGTTCAAACCTATGATTGCATTGGATAAAAACCGCAATTTTTATACGTGTGCATGCAAAACAAATTTCTTGTTAGAGGGGTCTAAATACAGCACAAACAACATTTCCAAAAGACCAAAATAGTGAAAAAGTATATTTTAACAAAACCTATTTGACTAACAGGTCGAACAACAAATGTTCTTAAACCCTGCTGACTGCCATTGGCGATTGCCAAATAAACGGATCACCGATGTAATAAATGGATCTTAATTTTGAATTCAATACTAAACAGAAAACAATAAACTTGCGGAGAAGATGATATACCGCAAACAAAAGGTGCAAAGGTTTTTGTACACCATATCCGGATTTCGACAAATAATGTCTCTTCAGTGATGTTAGGAATCGAAAAGGTATTTGGAAAGCCCAACAATTTACCTCAATTTAGGATAGACTCTTGAATTTTGAGGAGTCAAAATAGGATGAACGGATCATATTAACCCTAAGGCAAATATAATACAAGCCCAAACGAAAAAATATAAACAAGTCTAAATTGAAAACAACGTTCAACCTATGATTGCATTAGATAAAAATCGCAATTTTTATACGTGTGCATGCAAAACAAATTTCTTGTTAGAGGGGTCTAAATACAGCACAAACAACATTTCCAAAAGACCAAAATAGTGAAAAAGTATATTTTAACAAAACGCATTTGACTAACAGGTCGAACAACAAATGTTCTTAAACCCTGCTGACTGCCATTGGCGATTGCCAAATAAACGGATCACCGATGTAATAAATGGATCTTAATTTTAAATTTAATACTAAACAGAAAACAATAAACTTGCGGAGAAGATGATATACCGCAAACAAAAGGTGCAAAGGTTTTTGTACACCATATCCGGATTTCGACAAATAATGTCTCTTCAGTGATGTTAGGAATCGAAAAGGTATTTGGAAAGCGATATAATTTACCTCAATTTAGGATAGACTCTTGAATTTTGAGGAGTCAAAATAGGGTGAACGGATCATATAAACCCTAAGGCAAATATAATACAAGCCCAAACGAAAAAATATAAACAAGTCTAAATTGAAAACAACGTTCAAACCTATGATTGCATTGGATAAAAACCGCAATTTTTATACGTGTGCATGCAAAACAAATTTCTTGTAAGAGGGGTCTAAATACAGCACAAACAACATTTCCAAAAGACCAAAATAGTGAAAAAGTATATTTTAACAAAACGCATTTGACTAACAGGTCGAACAACAAATGTTCTTAAACCCTGCTGACTGCCATTGGCGGTTGCCAAATAAACGGATCACCGATGTAATAACTGGATCTTAATTTTAAATTTAATACTAAACAGAAAACAATAAACTTGCGGAGAAGATGATATACCGCAAACAAAAGGTGCAAAGGTTTTTGTACACCATATCCGGATTTCGAGAAATAATGTCCCTTCAGTGATGTTAGGAATCGAAAAGGTATTTGGAAAGAGATATAATTTACCTCAATTTAGGATAGACTCTTGAATTTTGAGGAGTCAAAATAGGATGAACGGATCATATAAACCCTAAGGCAAATATAATACAAGCCCAAACGAAAAAATATAAACAAGTCTAAATTGAAAACAACGTTCAAACCTATGATTGCATTGGATAAAAACCGCAATTTTTATACGTGTGCATGCAAAACAAATTTCTTGTTAGAGGGGTCTAAATACAGCACAAACAACATTTCCAAAAGACCAAAATAGTGAAAAAGTATATTTTAACAAAACGCATTTGACTAACAGGTCGAACAACAAATGTTTTTAAAACCTGCTGACTGACATTGGCGATTGCCAAAAAACAGATCACCGATGTAATAAATGGATCTTAATTTTAAATTTAATACTAAACAGAAAACAATAAACTTGCGGAGAAGATAATATACCGCAAACAAAAGGTGCAAAGGTTTTTGTACACCATATCCTGATTTCGACAAATAATGCCTCTTCAGTGATGTTAGGAATCGAAAAGGTATTTTGAAAGCCCAACAATTTACCTCAATTTAGGATAGACTCTTGAATTTTGAGGAGTCAAAATAGGATGAACGGATCATATAAACCCTAAGGCAAATATAATACAAGCCCAAACGAAAAAATATAAACAAGTCTAAATTGAAAACAACGTTCAAACCTATGATTGCATTGGATAAAAACCGCAATTTTTATACGTGTGCATGCAAAACAATTTTCTTGTAAGAGGGGTCTAAATACAGCACAAACAACATTTCCAAAAGACCAAAATAGTGAAAAAGTATATTTTAACAAAACGCATTTGACTAACAGGTCGAACAACAAATGTTCTTAAACCCTGCTGACTGCCATTGGCGATTGCCAAATAAACGGATCACCGATGTAATAAATGGATCTTAATTTTAAAGTTAATACTAAACAGAAAACAATAAACTTGCGGAGAAGATGATATACCGCAAACAAAAGGTGCAAAGGTTTTTGTACACCATATCCGGATATCACTCCTATGGCCATTGAGGCGTTTGTGGAAAGGCTGCTTTGACTCACCAACATATTGGAGGCCACAAACCGAACATTCTAGAATGTAAATAACATTCATACTTTTGCAGTTAACATTGCAAAATATCCTATGGTTATTTTCAGTTGCCTTACTGTGAAAAGTTGATGAGTGATGCATCTGTAGGCAGCATTTGCAGCGTTTTTCATCACACGAACGACATTCTCCAGAAGTACATCTATTATCAGACACTTCAGCCCGCACCAGCAGGTTCCGCAGACTATTGGGTTGCCTTAAAGCTATCATGGGAGGCTCGGGAAAAATCTTGGATAGATTGGAATTCTTTTCAACTGTTTTCCAATGCTCACGAATGACACCGAAACTGTTTTTGAGAGATGGGTGGTAAGTAAGAACACATGAAATCCTTTTATTTTTCTTTTTATATTTGTTTTCTAACAGTTTACTCCTTGGAATAGTTTCCGCTTTCTGAAAGCCTTTTTGGATAGTTCTGTGTTTGTAGCCCCTTCTCTTCAAGTGGGTTTCGAGTTGACGTAGTTGTTTTTTAGTTGTTTCTGTGTTGGAACATATTCGCTTGATTCTGATTGCCTGACTGTACGGGATGCTCTTAGTACAATGAGCAGGATGGCAACTTTTAGGGGACAGATATTGGTGAGTGTCAGTAGGCTTAGAATATAGATCAGTGGATATGATGCCATCTGTGAGCGAGCTGGAGGTATCGAGGAAGGTGATTTTGGATTTAGATTTCTCATTAGTAAATTTGATACTTGGATGTGTGTTGTTGGCATGAGTGATGAATGTATCTAAATCCTCGTCACTTTTATTCCATTTCATATCCACATCATCTATAAATCTAAACCAGGAAAGCGGTTTTTCGATGGAAGATTCAAGGAGTTGTTTTTCTAATTTGCCCATAAATATGTTGGCATATGAAGGAGCCATTTTGAGTACCAGCGTGAGCATTTTGACCAGGCATTCAGTAGGTTGATATTTCACTGGTCGTGAATTCCAAACTTCTTTACATGCATCAATGCCATCTGCATGTGGAACATTCGTGTAGAGGGAGGTGACGTCCATAGAGACAAGTGTCGTGTCAGAGGGGAGTGGATTTAAGGCCTGCAATTTTCTAAGATAATCGGTAGTATCTTTGATGTGAGATGGTAAGTCTTCAACATGTTGACAAAGATGGAAGTCAACGAATTCCGATATTTTTTCCGTCGGATGACCATTCGCTGAAACTATAGGTCTTCCTGGGTTATTGGCCTTATGAATTTTAGGTAAAAGATAAAATCTGCCCGGTTTTGGATTTTCTGGTTTCAAATATTCTAGAGTGTTTTCATCGATGAAACCATCGTTGTGCATTTCTACCAAACTACCAGTTATTTCTCTGCTAAAAGATGTTGTAGGAACAGTCTAGTTTTTGGTAGAACCTTGCATCGCCAAGTTGTCGTTCAGCCTCTTGAATATAGGCAGATATATCCATGACAACCACTGCACTGCCTTTGTCTGCAGGTTTAATGACGATATTGTAGTTAGATCGTAAGTTTTTCAGTGCAGTTCGTTCTTCATTGGTAAGATTGTCAAAAGGTTTATTGTTATTTCTAGTATTTCTAATAATGTCCGACTTAAAATTGTCAATAAATGATTCCAAGGTGGCATTTTTGCTCGGTTTAGGGATCCAAGTACTCTTTTTTATAAATATATATATATATATATATATATATATATATAGATTGCCTAACAATGTAATTTTAACACACTATTTAGTATGTAAATATTAGAATGTTTAAAATATTTACAAAACGATAAAAAAACACGCAATATTTCGCTAGACCAACTAGCTTCATCAAGCGTACATCTATCCAGGTGAAATCGGATGTAGAAGATAAGAAACTTTTGCAGCTCAATGTACATGTTGCACATGAATTTAGCTGCCTTGTAAATAAGACACAATTTGGATGAAGTTCAAGATTATATACAAAGTTGGTGGTTGAAGTTTGCAACGTCCATAGGCCAATATTACAGGATGAAAAGGACGAAGCTGTGTACTAAATTATTCTTTATCTTTCCTGTATCTTTTCTCGTCCTTTTCGTTAAGACCATCAGGTTCTAAAGTGTGGAGCTGGTGGATCCAAAAGTTTTCTCTTCTCCTTCTCGCCGTGGTGTCCCACTCGGTGTTGACTTCTATGATTTGGAAAGTTATATTATCAAAAGGATGTTTTTTTGTGCGAAGATGTCTTGTGAGAGGACAGTTTTTGTTAGTTTTGTACCATGAACGATGGTTATTGAGCCGAATATTGAATTTATCCATTGTTTCTCCCACATACTGAATGCCACAAGTGTTACATGTTAATATATTAATTGAGTTCTCCGTTTTACAGTTGGAATTTGAGTAGATGGTATAACTTTGTTTAGTGACGGAGCTGATGAAAGAACTGCTTGTATTGGCAGCTTTGCAACATAAGCAATTCCTTCGACCACATTGTTTGTAGCAACCGGGAGGTGGAGTAGGTTGCTTTGTTAATACAGATGTCACTAACTTGTCACGGATATTTTTAGGTCTTCTGAAGACCATGACTGGTGGTGAGGACAATACTTTTTTTAAATTGGAGTCATTTTCTATAATTTTCCAATGCTTCTGAACAATAGATGACACATTTTTAAAATAAGGATGGTAAGTGAGTACAAGTGGTGTTCTGTTGACTCCTTTATTCTTATCCTT